CAATATGCAGTAAGTTTTTCCACAAAATTGGTCCCCGTTACTGATTAAGAACATAACTTTAGATTATACTTTTGAGTTACAAAATTATTTTCTGAGAACTTGATCGAGGATTTATGGCTTACTTCTCTAAAATAAGGATAGAATATCGTTGGAGACAGTCCATGCTTTATTTTATACATGAACTGTATGACGAGGAATATGTTGATTTTAAACACATTTAATGCACTGAGTTTACGTAGAAGTGGCTCACAAGGCATAGTTCTTTTTGCTCCAAATACAATTCTACATGCATACTTTTATTTAGAATAAATTTTCTTTAACTTAGCGTAGCTGGTGCTTGCCCATAAAAAAGAGTGCTTACATGTTTCCTTCATGATAAATTTTCATCTAAGAAGTTTACAGTTGTTTGTCTAGTAATATTTACAACTATTTTGCGTCAGGGTAAGGAAGGAGGCGTGAACTTTCTGGTTAAATGCACTTCCGCGGTGCTCTGTGATAAGACCGTTACGACTTCTTGGGACATCTTAAATAACAAATAAAATTTATATTTGTAATTTTATATTAGTAATTTTAAAGGAAGGTTTCCTGTTTTGGTTGGTTTATGAAATAGAATAAGTTTAGTTTTGTTAACTTTAAGTGAAAGTTTATTACAAATAAACTGAACGTATTTCGATATATATTGTATATATTATTTTATTAAGTTAATTACGGTATTAGGTATGAATTAGAAAATTAAAAGATTTCAAAAATTGAAATCTTTTAATTTAAAACTATATAATTTTGTACGCGGAAATAAATTTAATTTGAATGTTTAAGGGAAATTTTGACTTAATTACTATTCTGTCAACAAGACTTTATTATTAATCTGTCGACAAGACAAATTTTTTAATTGATCCTACGAAAAGTTTTTTTCTTCTCTTTTTTAATAATGTAAGTACATTATACAAAATTATACATGATACATTATATAAAAAAAAAATCACCAGAAAGATGTAAAAAACAAAAAGTTTAAAAGGTATAAAATAATCTAATTAGCAGCAAGTTATTTTTTCAAAGCATTTTTTATCGAACACTTTTTTAATTATTATTTATATCCAATTCCGGATTATCCAATAGGCCAGACTAGGACATGGTCTGGGGCCCCCAAAAATTGGATATTACGAAGTTTAAAACCTTACTTTTTAAGGTGGTAGATTGCTAAAAAAGTTAGAAAAAAACGATTTTTCAAAAGTGGCATTGTTTTAAACAGTAACTGATGTAGAGTCTAAAAATATATAGATCTTGGTAGGAGAAAAAAAATTTAGAACTAATAAAAGTGATTTATATTAGTAGGGTAATTTTGTTTTCCCTAGCAACGCTCATAGCAACCGCTAGTTAAGGTTAGTAATAAAAAAAAAAATTAAAAAACAAAGAAAAAATTTTAAAACAACTAGGAAAGGGCTTGATAAAAAATACAAAAATTAAGAAGAGCAGTTTATAAAAAAGGGGGATTTTAATAACTTTGTATATTCAATATTTTTAATTTTATATGCTTTTTTCTTTGTTTTATTCTTCTAATTTTCTGGCAAAATTTGCAGGAGCTGTAATTGTCCAATTGACTTAAAATTTTGTACAGAGATTCATTGTAATAAGCTTTATGTCCTGAGATTAAAAAAATTTAGAATATAAACTTTTAAAACAGCAAACTTTTTGTTCTTAATATCAGAAATTAGATGATTGATTGGGCGCTTTGAAAAATCTAACGATACTTTAAAATAAAAAAATTTTCAACAAAAATTTTTATCTCAGGACATTTATCTACATAAAACAAATGAAAATACAAAAAATTAGAACTTAATAAATTATACTTTTTGAGATATCTTTGCCAAGATTTTAGCCTGTTTTTGGCCTAAAATCACCTGTTTTAGCCCAAAATATAAATGAAAAAAAAAAAAAAAAATTAAAAATTATGAATTTTCTAATGTATTTATCATGTTCGAAGTAAAAAAATTTATTGAAATATTGTAAAATACAAAAATAATTTTTTTAGCAGTCTACCACCTTAATTCGAACAAAAGTTATTTTTTTGTGAAATAAACCAAAATGCAAATAATGTGATTTAAAAACTTATTTATCTATATTTATAAAAATTTTTATTTATCATTATTCTACTTCATTATTGTATTTAAAAATACTTGCTTCTGCACAATATAATCCTGTAGTTCAACAGAGTTAAATAAATCTATTAGCGCTGCCGTCGGTAGAGACTTAAAAACTTAAACATAATATTTCTGAAGAGCTAAGTAAAGAAATTCAAAAGTAATTATTTTAATATATTTTTTATTTGATTTTTTTTTTCAATACTGAATCAAATGTTTGCTAATTCTTTTGGCGCATTTATGCCAATTCGCACTTGGGGGCCATCCATAAAGGACGTCACTCTAAGTTTAACTAACAGCAATCGGAGAATGTTGGCTCTCGTGCGCAGAGATTTTTAGAGTATTATAGCGACTTATTCAATAAAAATATCCGCGAAAGGAGCCAATAAACTTTTACTTCGGGTTAGTATTTAAATGCTTAATGACGTCCTTTACGGATGTCTCCTTTCCAGTTTTTACGACTGCGTCGCATTTAGGAAATTAACACTTATTCAGCTGCCTCTCTATAAGTGACCCCTCTATAATTTTGATTTCGATGAAAAAGAGTACTTACAGGTATACGTACCGCATTTTGTAACCAGTTGGTAAAAGAAAAGGTTTGGCAAGTTACTGGAAAGATAAGTTTGACCAGTCTCAAATCTTGATTAGAGAAATGGCTGAGCAAAGCCTCCAATTAGAAAATATTCCTGATCTGCTAACTATTAAAAAAATCAATCTAAACCTTGAAAAAATATCTACTCGAGTTACTCAGGTCTATGGTTAAATGCGTGCAAAAGATGTTGTAGCAAAAGTGAAAGATATAAAAAAAGAGAAACGACGAAAGATAATAGCAAAGGAGGAATCCAAAAAAAAATAAAGAAGAAGCTAAAGAAAAGTTTATTAAATGTAAAGTTGAATGTTTTTGCAAACAAAAGAAAAACTTTTGGCCTAAAGCAATGTCCCAATTGTCTTGATTTTCTCCGTTCAATTTGCAGCAAAGTGAGTTGCAGAGTTGATGGTGTTAAAGCACTTCTCCACATCTAAAAGACTGATATAAGACCATTATAACAAATGCAACAACAATCAATAATTTTTTTTTTGAATTAAAGTAATCAGTTAAAGTATTATTTTATTTATCTATGTTATCTTAACATTGTTTTAATAAACTATTGTTATAATAATGTTTTAAAGCCTGCAACCATTTTAGATGTCTGTGTTATTAGTGCTGTGTTCAAATATTGTTTTTAAGATAAATATATATCATTTCCTTTAAAAACAATCAAATACAATGGTAATTTATTGTTGTTGTTTCTTATTTTCTGGTCTATAAAGTGAGTTCTGAAAATGTACACCAAAAACAACAATAATACTTCCTTTCTTTATGAGGATGTTATAAAGATTTATAACTACTTGAGAAAAAAAAAACTTTTTTCAGTATCTAGTTATAATCCATAGGTAATAGAAAAACTATATTTTGCTAATTTATTCTCTAATACGGCTTCAAGGCTCCTACAAAACAAAAAAAACTACGTTTTTTTTTATAATTGAAATTTTTACTCTAGTGTAAATACCAAAGTATTTAACAAATAAAAAAAACCACTAAAACTGCTTTAATTTATAGGCTGACGTATTAGCTATCATAATATATCAATTTTTTTGAATCCTGAATCTTTTTCTATATGCTAGGTCACTTAACCCAACGTTGTTGTTTAGAAATAATTTTTATTTCATTTTCAAATACAGTCAACTTGGTAACTCTTAATAATACCAATGCTAAATTTGATCATTTTATTTAAAAATTTGTTTATTTTAGATTTCAATCATATGCATAATTTCAAAACTTTGGTTTTGCAAACAAATCATTTTAGCATATTTCAAATAATCATCATTTTTTAATTTTTATACGTAAAGTGTCAAATAATATTGATGGAGAAATATAAGTTTGTAAAAATTGAAATACGTTTACTTTTTCGTTATTTATTCTTAAATGACCAAAGTTACATGACGACCAAACTCAGTCGAATAAACGGTAGTTTTTTTTATCGGTAATAGCATAGAAGTACTAGAAACTATAATACTTTTTTGGCAATAGTAACAGTATCGAAAACAGCCTAACTGAACAGGTTCGAAAAAGGACTTTCCAGAATAATATTGAAATAGAGAATAAAACCGATATTGTAAAAAAAAAAATGCATTTAAAATACGAAAAGCAGAATAATATCGAAATAGCTCAAAAGAGAATAAGCTCGAAAAGGGACTTTTTGGATTAATATCAAAAAGTATTTTCGTCAAATAAAAAAAAAAAAATTATCTCAAAGACATTAAAAACTATTTATATCCATTTACTTTTATATGATTCTTGTAGTAAGATAATACTATAATAATTTGTCGCATCATTTTAAAACATAAAAGCGATCATTAATACACGGACACTTCTAATCATCATTTGAGGACAAATACAATAAAATTTAATAGCGTCATTTTTTCAGGACACCTGTGAATGATTTTTCTTTTACTATATCTATTGCGCAATCTTTCTTTGTTTCACATGTGCACTATTTGATGTAGCCTTTCTTACGCTGATTACTTGACGCAGATTATAAGAGCTTATAAACTTAAGTAACATCAATTGATTTATATATAAAAAAACTGGTGTTAAGCATTTTCATAATTTTAATTAGCCTTAACTTGGACCTATTTGAAGAGAATCAAGAATTTGTTTTGTTAATTTGCAATAAAGAAAAGTAATTTAATATATCTCAATAAGACAAGAAAAAAGGGGAGAGGGAAGGGGGGGGGGGGAGATGACGGACCTCCAACAAAAAATGCTTGAACGCGTTTTTCAAATACCCAATGATTCAAAAAGAAATCAAACATAACAAATTAGATTCTTGCTGTAACATTCTTGAAATCAATAAATACAACTTTTGACATTTGCTCTAAATGTAAAAAAAGACAGGTTTGACTAAAGTTGCAACGAATAAAGAAAATTTTTAGTTACTAATTTGATATTAATATTTACTTTTTCTAAACATCTATCACACCTGTTTAAATTTTTGACTATAAAACTATAAAACGCTCCAAAATAAAAACACATATCTATTACTGCTTATTTAAAGAAGACAGCAATTTTAATAAAATAATAAAAATAATCTTCCATAAAAACTCATAACAAAAACATATAAAACTCTCAGATATAATTTCGTTACACAAATAAAACAGATTTTTTTTTTTAAAAAAAGAAAAAATTTTTACATTAAATGTATTCGAATATATATTTGTATATATAATATATTCGAATATATATTTGAATATATACTTGTAGATTCATTTTATTCGAATATATACTATGCGGAGAAAAAACTCCTATATTTAAAACACTTTTAATTTTTAGTTTATAAAGTTTAATTAAAGTTTATATAGCTTTTTTTTTTGGTTATTAATAATACATAAAGTCTTGAAACATTTACTTTTTTGATAAAAAACAGAATCTATTTAAGAAAAAAAAACAAAAAACAAAAAAGAAAAAAACAAACACATTTTCTTTTCAAAAAGGATAAAAAAACGACTAACAACCGCAATAACTGCTGTCAGGATCAATATATTTTTCAGTATGAGGCGAAACAATAATGTTGATCGGTTTTGATTTTTCCTTTTTGCTGTTGCTTTCGTTTACTAAAGCCGATGCAATATGCAGAAATAACTAAATATTTAAAGCTATTATTAGTAAATAAAGTAATGCAGTAAAAAATCAAATAAGACGCATCACTTACCTTTTTCACATTATGACCAGTTTTCGCACTTGCTTCCATAAATGTGACTCCAAGTTCTTTTGCTCTGCGCGCCCCCTGTTCCATTGATACTCTCCTACGGAAATATATACGAATTAACTATACAGTTATTAATAAAAAAACAATTAAAAATGCATAACAATATTTAAGAAAACCTTTTCTCGGTAAGATCTGTTTTATTTCCGCAAAGTACTATGACAACGTCTGATCTTTCTTTACGGACATCGTCTATTGATCTCTCAACTTGGTCAAAGGATGATACACCTTCAAAATGGAAATGAATTTTAGACAGAATTATTTATTATAGAAATAATAAAAAATGGATGTAAAATTATTAATTATAAAATACTTGACAATATCAATATAGGCTTATGATACAAATTGAGTTTACACTTAATATTTTAAGAAATAACAAAAAATAGTTTTATAAAGACATTAGCTTAATAAAATGCGAAACATTAAAATATAAAATAATAATAACAGTTGAAAAATAAAAATTACTTGTGATATCATAAACAGCAACAGCAGCTGATAAGTCACGAATGTAATTAGGTATAAGACTTCTGAACCTCTCAGTTCCAGCTGTATCCCATATTTGCAAATGAATCTAAATAAAGGTTGTATAAAAAATTGCAATTATTAAAAAAAAACAAAAAAGCAACACCAAATCGTTGAATAAAAAACAATTAAAACAATATAGATAAATCAATGGTGGCTTCTTTTTTATATGTATTTAAATCAACTAGACATGGTTTACTATATAACAGGCTTTGCTAACTATTGTTTCAGAGACCGAATTTTTTGACATAAATTAATAACTCTTATTAAAACACAAAATAACTAAGAGTAATAAATTTTGACTTCATAAGATTTCTAATTACGTAATAAACATGTGATAACTTAAATATTTATATGACTAAAATACAATTATATAATAAAAAAAATACTTTATATAATATCATTTTTATGTATTGTAAAAAAAAAAATAGTCCATATTTAAAAGATCACATAAATTTCAATTACATTTCACTGTCCCATTTAACAAATCTGATTAGCTAAAAGAAATTAAGTCTTCAGAAATTTCATCATTGTCATTGTAGCCACTATTTTTTTGGCTTTCGCTGTTGATGTTGCGAGGTATTTGATGGCATTTCTGCTTGCAATTTTTATACTTTTTTAAAAAACCCTAAACTTACAAGTATTAATATAGTTTTTAAACACCTTTTATATTATTGATTTCAAAATAAATAAAATTTATATATGTAAATAGTTGCTAAAAAAAGTGCCGTGGGCGCCCCTGAATTCAATACTTATTAAGTATGCATAATATATATATTTCTTTGGCTTACCCGGCTTCATTTTACTTCTCAAAATAAATAAAATTCATAGATGTAAATGATTGCTAAAAACCCCTGAACTTACAAGTATTAATATAGTTATCATTATGTTACTTGGTAATAAAGCTATTATTATTATTATTAGTATTTTGATTACTATCATTTTTACTATATTATTATCAATATATCTTTGTTATTATATTATTATCAATATATTTTGTTATTTATTTATTATATTATTATTAATATATCTTTGTTTTAGTTAATTTTATCTATTATGACAGTTCCGTAGTAGTAATATTACTATTGTTTAATCTATTCTATTTATTTCATATTTATTTATATACTATATTATAAATATTTTTACAATTGTTATTTTACTTGTTATAACTTTTATGTTATATTATTTTAAACATGTTATTATTATTATTTATATTGTTATTACTATTATTTATAAGAGATATATTAAAACATTTTTCTTTAATTAAATTTTTTTACAAACTATTTTTATTTTTAAGTTTTATTAATATTCTTTAACTATATTTCATCAAACATTATTTTTTTAAGATGTCTTTTTAGTGGCAATTAACCTGATTTATGTAAATTCAAAGTCTACTATTGTAAATTTCATTTTTATGGTTGAAATAAATAGAACTCATAATAAGACTAGCGAGCAATCATAAAAAAAAAATTAAACATGCATACTGAAGCAAAGTACTTTTCAAAAAAAAAATTTCCAGATAAAAATCAACACCCTAATGCTAAATGTAACCAACACCCAATTTACAAAAAAATTGTAGAGCCCTATTAAACCAAGCTATTACACCAAGCTACTACACCAAGCTATTGCACCAAGCTATTGCACCATTTATTACACCATAGCTATTACACCAAGCTATTAGACCAAGCAATTACACAATTACAAGTACAAGTTTAAGAATTTTTTTGAACAATTTTTGAACAATTTTGAACAAAAAATTTAAAATATACTCTTTTAAAAATAACTTTTTGTGTAAAAATAAAAACTAAAATAATGTTGTGATTGTTTTTTGATCTTATGTTAATAACGCTAAATTAAAAATACCTTTTTTTCTCCAACAACCAAGGTCTTGGAAAGAAAGTCTATACCAATTGTTGCCTAAATATATATATATTTAAAAAATTACAAATTGACAACAACAACAACAGCAACAAAAAAAAATAAATAGTATTTGTTGTGAAACCGTAATAAATAAGTCTATATTAAATATTTTCGGCTCAAAATATTAAATATTAAATCAAACACAATTCAAGATTTACAAAACAGATTTTATAACACATCAATTTAATATAATTAAAATAACTTAAGTTAATTTAACAATATTTTATAATGACGTGATTGACATTAATTATTTAGTTCAAATACATAGTTCTTAAGAATATAACAGTATTAAAAGTTCTTTTTTGTCCCATTTCATTTTTAAAAAAGTACTTCATTCTTTTTCTTTTTTTTTTTTTTAAACATCTTCGCTTCTAACAAGGCTGCAAGCAACCACTAATTAGTGTTGGAAGTTACTGGAAGAGAAAAGATGAAGATTGTAGAACAAGATAACAATTGACAGACGACTTAAAAGATTGCAAATTATATGAATCAGGAAAGCAAGATGAAGGAAGCGAATTCCAAAGAACTGATGTTCGAGGAAAAAAACTAGACGAGTAAGAGTTTTTGGAGCACTTAGGAACAATAACAGAAAAAGGATGAGACTTAATTGAATGACAAGTAACACGAGAATGAATTTTAGTAGATACCACAAGAGACGCTAGCTCTTTAGAGCAGTGCCCATTATAGCATTTGTAGAAAAGAGTAAGAGAAGCAGCATTACGACAATGTGACAGAGGTTGAAGGTTGGCTGCAAGAGCAGGTCCAATTATGTTAACAATGCATTTTTGCACCTTGTCTAAAAGAGAAAGGGCATCATTAGAAGATCCGCCCCAGATATGGCAACAGTATTCCATACAAGGTCAGATTTGAGATTTGTAGAGATAGAGAATAGAATCCAGAGTAAGAAAGTGTCGAGCTCGATAAAGAGAAGCAACTTTAGCAGATGCTAATTTTGCAACAGATTTGATATAAGGTTTCCAAGAAAGATCAGAAGTAAGAGTTAATCCTAGAAGATGAAGGGTAGGAGACTCATCGAGTACATTACCGTTCATAAATATAGGAAGGTCTAAATTATTGTGATAATGATTGGCTGAAAAAAATTGAGTTTTATCTGAATTAAAGTTCACCAGCCACTGTGAGCCCCATGCTGTAGCAGAAGTGAGATCCTTTTCAAGCTCAGATGCCCCCTGCAAGCAATCAGCGAGAGTTGGCTTCTTATCGTGACAAGAATAAATGGTAGTATCATCAGCGAACAATGCCACCTTAGATGTGAGAATATCTGGAAGATCGTTAATGTAAATTAAAAAGAGTAGGGCCAAGGATTAAACCTTGAGGAACCCCTGATACACCGTAAGAAGAAAGCTTATGGAGAACACCAGCATGCCAAACTTTATCAAACGCTTTAGAAATGTTAAGAGTGATGGCCTTAACCTCTCCACCTTTATCTAATGCGCGATAAAACCTATCGGTTATTACTGTTAGCAAATCAGCCGTAGAACGAGAGGATCGAAACCCATATTGATGATCAGAAAGTAGGTTATGAGATTCGAGATGAGAGATTAAGTGTTTGTTAATTAAAGATTCAAAAACCTTGCTTATGATAGGGAGAAGAATAATGGGACGGTAGTTAGATGAATCGGATTGCCCTCCAGAATTTTTAAAAATAGGGATATCAGATGCTGCTTTCCAGCTGGCTGGAAAACAAGACTCTGATAAGCACTTGTTAAATAGTTTTGAAAGGATAGACGAAAGCTCCGAAGAACACTTCCGCAAGACTATAACAGGTATGTTGTCCGGGCCGCAAGCTGTAGAAGAGTCTAAGCAGGAAATCACTTTAGATACAGAAGCTGGAGTGATACGGATGTCGACCAATAGATAACAACATTCAATAACAACTAACAGTATATATTAAATATATTTAGTTTCAATTAGTAAAAAAATTTCTAATTACAAAAAAAACCAACCTGATAAGTACTGTCGAAGCTATCATACATATATCGTGTGATAAGTGAAGTTTTCCCTACTTTGAACAAAAAATTTTAAACCATAAATTTCACAAATATCATTAGTTAATTTATATATATTTTCAAGATCACTATATAATTGTCACAGTAGAAAATGTTTGCACCAGTAAAAATTGTTTGTTTGATGATTTAAATAAATGTTTCAGATTTAGCAAAGGTCTGGGTAAGTCTGAAAAACCCTTTTGAGTTAAAATTGCTAAAGCTGGTAATTAAAATTATTTAATAAAAAAAATAATATCTACAAAATATTTTTGAAAAATCACACTTAAAATGGAATTACTACAAATGAAATAACCAATCATTAGATTAGCTTCCTTTAAAAAAAAAACAAAAAAGTAGATCTTTTTATTTCTTAGTAATAATAATAGTATTTGAGTTGCTAGGATACAGGTCCTATTATTGTATCGTTGTTCACAATTTCTATTAAATTTTTGTATAGACTGGTCTCTTTTAGTACATTGAACTGAATAAATAATAGATTTACTGTGCTAATTAGTAATAGCAAGATCTATATCAATTTTAAACTTCAATTTTAAACTTCGATTTTAAAATCAATTTTTAACTTTTAAATTAAGTTTTCTGTTATTCTACGACTCCCCAGTTTTTGAATTTGAAACAAGATACATCTCTATATGTAAACAAGATGTTTGCATATGCCGGTACTTTTGTAGATCGTCTTCGTATTTTCTCAATAATTTTTTTTATCTTTTATTGCATAAGGAGACCAAGCACTGTTTGAATATTCCAGGTTAGGTCTGACATTTTTTTTGTATAACTTGGTCCATAACACTAAATCCCTTGATACAAATGTTTTTTTTTAAGCATATTAACCATACTGTTAGCTTTAAAGAGATCCTAAACTCCCGACACATGTTGTGTTCATATTAAAGATAATGTTAAAAAAAAAGGTTTGAACCAAGTTTTTTTGATTAAAAATATATAATGAATGCATACCGAGAAAAACTAACGTTGTTGTTTTAGCCGAAGCTCGCCTTCTCCATTTTTTTTAATAACTCGGAGTCTTTAAATTATATGTCGCAATCTACAGACTTTGGCGATTCCTTTGAAGCGCGTTTAATTCATAAAGGTTTTAGTATTTGACGTCACAGTAGACTTTTAACAAATGAAACTCTGGAAATACTTTTATTTATTTTTATTCGAACTTTTTTTGATTACTTGTTGTTTTTTTTTTCTATTTTTAACATTTAAAAATATATTAAAAACCTCAAATATTTTATGCTGGTTCATTGCTATAAATTGTTATTGCATCATATATTTAATGTTTATAAATTATGAATACTTATTATCTCAATCAAGACTCTGATAAAAAATTGTTTTACATTAATTACCCTTATAAAATTAGTAAAAGCATTTTTATTTGGTTAGATAATATTTCGTCTCAAATTTGCTTTGCATGAAGTTCGGGAAGTCAAGCGAAAAAAATTAGTTTGAATAATCACTTTGAAATATATTGAAAACAAATTATTTTAATGACGGGGGTTTAAAAGTTTTTTATAACAAATGTAGGTAAAAAATAAATAATTAAATAAAAAGTTCAACATTAAACATCATTACTTTATTATATTGCAATTGTAAATATTGAAATATTAACTTGAACTAAGTTTACTTATTATTTAGAACGACTAAGCAATAAAAATAAAAAAACCCTAAAATTATGCGATATTGTGTTGTTTATTTGATAACTGCTGTTGGTAATGTTGTTTATGTTGATTATTTTCATTATTATCAAAATAGTCCCAGATTAATCTGTTAGTTGCTTTGTTCATTGTGGCTTTATTTCTAATTTAATTTTATCTCTAAGTATAAATTAATGTTAAGAAAGAAAAGTTTTTATTTCATCGCTCGCTCTATTTATAAAAGAGTAGAACAAAAGAGAAAGAAAAGTTTTTGCGTAGTTAAACTTCGAATGAATAAGAGTTGTATAGAATATATATATATATTTTTTTTTGCGTCACTCGTTCTTTTTTTAGATTAGAGAAATAAAAGTTTAATAGTAACTTTTCTTTGAATAAATGAAAATTGGAAGAGAAAATTGCTTGAAAATTTGTATTTGTTGTGTTTTAAAATTTTTTTAATTTTTCATATTAAGAGACAAATGCCAAATACAATACAAATTGGGAAATACCAAATATATAATGTTTTTTAACGCGCTTTATGCCATTTTGTCAATTTAAATTACCATTCATCTTGAATTATTGCCATTAATTAATGCGTTAATTATTGCGCTATATAATAATAGTTTGTCCGTATATTTGTTAAATATTAGTTGTATAAAACGAGCAAAAATATACAAACGTTTTTATTTGATGGTTATAAAATATTGAACAGTAAACTAATAATCAAAATTTATAATACCAACTTGTGTTGTTATTAATTGTACTTTTAATGCAAAACCAAGATCTCACATATCCTTTCACGAATTTGCATATCTGATACTACTGTCAACTGTATTGTTTAGTGTATTCTTGTACTTTTTTTTCATAACCTTTGTAGGTTCTAATTGGTATGGAGTTGCCGACATTTTAAAAGTTTCATTATCAAAAATCAAATGTAAAATAAATGATATTTCCTTTCCGTATTCAATTTGACAAATTTAGCAATTTAAAATAAATCAGCGTAATCAAAAAAATTTTATAATAAAAAAAGTTAACAATTCATCATATATCTCTAATTAATACTGTCAATTTATGAAATTAATTGTTTATACTTTTTTTCGACAGGAAAACAAAAAATATCATAGCGTAAAAATAACCAGAGAAGTAAGATTCAGAATATATAATACTGCGATCTCTTGCACAAAAACGAGAAACCGTATACATAACGTTCTATATAATGTAAAACACTGGTGTGAATATCATAAGATTCGTAAGTAAAGCTTAATATTTGTTTTAATTTAAAAACAAAAGAAATATAAGCAAGGTATATAAATCTAAAAATTATTAAGATATCTGTAAAAAAAAAGTTCCTCTTATGAAATAAAAAGTTTTTATTATTTTTGATTTTTACAAAAATTTGTTGTAAAAGTTGTTTTGCTGTATGTTAAAATTTTTTTTTCTTAATTAAAATAGAAAAACGCAGCTTTGTTTAATTACACTTTTCTTTTGTTAAAAATCTATGGTGATGTCAAGTGCTAAAACTTCTATGAATTAAACGCACTTCTAAGGAATTGCCAAAGACAGTAGATTGCAATGTATAATTTAAAGACTCCGAGTTATTCAAAAGAATGGAGAAGGCAAGCTTTGGCTAAAACAACAACATTAGTTTTTTTTGGTATGCATTCATTATTTATTTTTAATCAAAAAAACTTGGTTCAAAACTTTTTTTTTAACATTATCTTTAATATGAACACAACATGTGTTGGGAGTTTGGGATCCCTTTAGTAACTTGGCAAAAATTTTTACTTTAATAGCATGAATAACTTGGTGAAATATTTAGCATCACTTGAAACAAATACACCATTTCTACGTCTAATTTTTTCCAAATCAACCCTTTCTAGGAAGCATGTGCGATTGCTTGGCTTGTTCGTCCATTATTAAAGTAACTTTTTTAGACAACTTGACCACGTTTTTATATTGTATAAATTTTCAGTAAAATAAGCTATAAAAAACTAGAGAGAATAAAACAGCAATACTCGAAGAAAGGAAATGAAGACTAAAGAAAATAGAAAATCTAAATATAATAAACTAAAAAAAAAATAGAATAATAAAAAAAAAAATGTCAAAAAAAGAACATAACTAAATTTTTTACTGTTTTCATTTTCTTATTTTTAGGGCATTTTTTATTTTCCACTACCAATACTTATACAAATCGAGGAAAAAAGTAGATAAGAATTTTTTTGTAACTTTTTTCAGTCAGTTTATTAAGGATATACTTTATTACTTGCGCTAGAAACATTGACAATTTTTAAATTTGATTTTCGAATGTTTTTACTAAACTTTACTGTTTTTATCAATGCACGGAAAAGCGAGAAAAATAATTTGTGAAGATTTTTTTTTTGACAAGTTTTGTTAAGCAAATAGTTCAAACAACAAACTTTTTTTTTACTAGATCTGGTCAGTGTTGGATAAGTCTAATACTGCAGTTAGAAAGAAACGATTTAAACATCTAAAAACTTTCTCAGAAACACCATGTAAAGCAAGCTAATGGAAAAGACCAGCATGCTAAACTTTATTAAAATCTTTTGATATGCCAAAGTTTTAGCCATTGTCTTGCCGCCTCTATATAATGCAATCTTTCAGCTACAGCAGTTAGCAAGTCAGCGTAAAAAGCGTAAATAAAGTAAAAAAATAAAATAAAATAAAGTAAAAAAAGTAAAAAAAATAAAGCGTAATTCTTTAGCCTTTGATAGGTTGGTTATATGTTCAAATATAGGTTACGGTGAGTCAACTGGGGAAAGCATTTACATGCAAATTTTTGACCAGGTGTTTTAGGGAGCTATGAGGTCTTCAGTACATACATTGAGTGATTTAGGGAGAAAATGCAAGGGAGTTGCTGCTACATTAACTGAGAATTCAAGTTTGGCAGCAATAAATCTTTTTTCCTGAAAAGCCATATAGAAAAAAGTTGACATCAACAGAAAATATATCTTTATATGCTATAATGAGTATGTATGTATATATATATATATATATATATATATATATATATATATATATATATAATATATATATATATATATATATATATATATATATATATATATATATATATATATATATATATATATTATTATTATTATTACTATTATTATTATTATTATTATTATTATTATTATTATTATTATTATTATTATTATTATTATTATCTGTATTTCTTCAGCATTTAAGTGCTCATTGAATGATATCAGAGCTTTTTATGTTTGTTTGACAAGATAAAGTAAAAAATAACAACATAATGTTTACTACTATAAGTTTTATGCATTAGTAATCAGCAGGTAAAAAATACATTGTAATGTATTTTTTACCTGATGATTGCTAACGCATGAAACTTTTAGTAGTAAACATATATATATATATATATATATATATATATATATATATATATATATATATATATATATATATATATATATATATATATATATATATACATATATATATATATATATATATATATACATATATATATATATACACACATACACATACATAAAAAAATTACACCCAAATATTTCTTAAATCAATTATAAAAAACTTACCACTTTGCTCTCCCAAGAAAACAAGCTTATTTTTTTTAATCTCTACATTCTCATCAAGATTCATTTTCCCTCAAGCACATTCTTCTTTATAAATTGTTAGATTAAAAACATGCTGAAAAAAGAAAATATTATATATGACTTTTTTTCAAATAAAACATTAATTCAAAATGTTGTAAGACTTTTTAAAGCACTATCAGATTATCAACTAATAATTAAAGTCACACAAATGCATGTATATTGTTTATAATGTAATGAAAAACAAAACAAAGTTTTGTAACCATTTATTCTAAACAGGAACCCACATAAGATAAATCTACTAGAATTACAAATTGTTCATTCTTATTAATTGATAATGTTTTAACTAATGACTTTTTCAAAATATGTTGCCTAAAAATGATATTTTTTTGCAACTATAATATAATATAAAAAAATTTAGGCACTTATAATATAATATAAAATATATAAAAATATTAGTTATTTATTCTCTGATTAATGCTGACAATAAAACAAATACGCCTAAGGCAACAATAGAAAATAGTTGTAAATAGATAGTTGTAAAAGTTGTTGATACTGACAGTCATGAACTTATTAAAAATTTTTAAATTAAGACTGGAGATGTATTAACTTCAATAATAATATAAACCTTACCTATATATTTCTTTTTTTAAATCTTTTACAAATTTTTACAAATAGAAAATAATACTGGATGAAATAATGTAAACAAATATGAAATAATTCTGAACACAATAAAAGGTATTTTTTAAATTATATCTACTTATTTTTTCAAACCGATTCTTAAATATTATTTTGTATATATTTAATATATTCTAATATTAATAATTTTTGTTTGTATATTTTCTATATTCTATATTTCTACATACCTATATTTTACAAAAGAATTCTTAAATTTTATTCTTTCAAATATTAAAAATTTTAAACGCTATGATGCATTTTTCGGGGCTTGGTGATAAAACTAAGTTTATCTTCTTCTAGCCCTGATTGTGTAATAATTATTTATAAATTAAAATTATATAATTTACAAAACAATTCTTAAATTTTATTCTTTGTAATACTAAATATTTTAAACGCTATGATGCATGGTTTGGTGATAAGACTAAGTTTGTCCTCTACTAGCCCTGATCATGTAATAATTATTTACATTTTAATTGGCCAAGTGTAATTTAAAAATAAATAAAGAAAAAAAACAATCTATGTTTTTTTTCTTTATTTATTTTTAACAAGACATATTATAAAAACATTATCTAAAATAAAGCAAAAACTCAATGTCAAATATCTAAAAACTAAATCAGCTAAACATTAAAATAACTACCCAGTATATTTATATTATTAAAATCTCCATTAATTAATTTTTTTTCCATTAATGAATTTATTTTAAACAAATACGACTTTGAACTTTTTAAATTTAACTTTTGATGAATTAAAAAAAAAAAAAAAAAAATAAAAAAAAAAAAATAAACCATTAAAAAAAACAACAAAGCAATTAGCTTGATGGTATAAACCGAAACATTTAATTTTGATGTTATGAAAGATGTCCTCTTAGGTGCTAAATACACAGGATTATTAATTTTCAAAAAAATTTTCCCACCCACACCAAGCTTATTAAGATCCCCCCCCCTCTACTGATTTTGTTTATCTCAAAACTAAAAAAAAAATCCTTTTAAAAATCTTGTAAATCTTAATTGGTCAAAAGGTTTTTTTATTTGTTTTTTGTTTATTTCTCACTATAGTATAAAACTTATACAACCATATTAAGTCCTATTGAAATTATGAAACAGCTGTTAAAAAATTCACAAACTCAAATTTCAAACTGACCTATTTATCAAGAACCTCCCCCCCCCATCTCCCTTTTATTAGATCTGAATTAATACCCTTCCTTCACCCCCAAGATTAAGAACGCAAGAGTAATCTGAAAATAGCAAAAATAACTTTAACCTTCCAAAACAGAAATCATATTAACAAAACAAATTTGTCTCAGATCTTTCAATTTTTTTAAAAAATACTATAAACTAAAAGGTATAACAAATGTACAATTATTTTAAATATTATTAATTACTTACTCTAAGAACTCTCAATTTATACTAGGCATATTCATTAATTTGTCAAAAGCTTTTAACATTGTTAATCACTCTGTATTAAAAAACAACTGGAAATCTATAGTGTGAGGGATAAAATTCTAAGTTGATTAAAAAGCTATTTTAGCAACCATAAACAATTTGTTTATAACAAGAAATGTTCATTTCAAATATAAATGAACAAAACATGTGGTGTTTTCCAAGGATCCATATTTGAACCCCTTTTATTTTTAATATTCATTAAAGACATAACAAAACTTCAAATTGAATGATGGGTCACTTTCTAGTCACATTAATATATAAATACATATTAATAACATGACTGATGAGCTAAAAATTTACATTGATTTAAAAATGGATTGTTTTTAAATATTGATAAAACATAATGGATACCTTTGTCTCTTTTAAGACTTAATTTTTAGAAAAAAAGAGATTAAAAAATATGTCTGACTTATCTATTGACAACACTATCCTAACAAAAATTTTAGAAAGCAAAAGACAAAAGCATTTCTTTCCATAAATTTATCATTTATAGATTCCATGTCAATATTTATCAAAACTGCACATTCATTTAAAAAAATTGCAAGACTTGATAAGCAACTTTGTCCTATAGTATATTGATGAACATTCTTGATGCCTTTAAAGTCAAAAACAACAGTACAATTAGTTACAGCAGTACACAAAAAAGTCAACAGGATAACTTTAAAAAGTCAGTCAAGATATTCAGTGAAGGAAAAAGTCAATTCAAGATTTTTAGAACAAATTCATTAGAGCAGATAAGAGCAGGTGGTTTCTGCTTTTTGTTACTATTTTTAATATGTACAGGAACAAAGCTGGAGATATGGAAGTATTCATTTGCAAAAAATGAGTCAATACTATTTAGAATAGCATTTAATCAGGAATCGAAGTAGTAAGTTTATTTTTAAATAGACCACTGTAATTGCATATTATGATGTTGATTTCTGCAAATATGTATAACTTTTACCAAAATTCTTTATCTTTTGTACTTGTGATATTTTTAAAATATTTTTAAGTTTGTAGAGCTTTTAGCATCAAAGTATACAAACACTATTGGCCCCTGAAAATGCCATGAATGAAAACAGTGGGATCATAAGAGACACAAATCTTGAAGAAAACAAATTGATTTTACTTTCATGAAAATACTAAAAGAATTAGAGTCTGAATTTAACATATTAAATCAATATCTATTAACACAGCAATACTTTTCATATACTAAACTAATCCAAAATCCAAAAACTGCACATACAAATTTTATTTGTATGTGCAAATTATATACAAATTATATTTGTATTTGTATTATATTTTTGTGTATGCATTTAATGCATTTTTTACTTTTATTAACCTTAATTTTATGTATAATAAGTGTTTTTCTCTTTATATTTTTTTTATTTGTTTATTATACTTACAATATATTTTTGTTATTATATTATACAAACTAAAATTTCATATTTATTGAGTCTTTGTAGTCTTTTTACGAAAATTATTTTTACGTCATCGTTATTTGTTACCTTTTGTCTATTTATTACTGTTTGTAACTGTAACTATGTATATATAATTGATTTATAATTGATAATTGATTGTTGTATGGAAGATTGTATTGATTTAATTCTTTTAGTTACTGGTTTTTATAATTTTTGTTGACGTAATTAATGGACAGCCTTCTATTAAATATTTATTTAACAATTCTGTTATATATGTATTGTATTTATTATTATCATGATTTTATTTTATTCATTATTATTGGGTGTTAATTATACCTACTGGTAATATTTTTATTGTTTGTTTATGTTTCTTATTTTCATACAATTATTTTTATTGTTGTTATTATTAATTTATTGCTATTTTTATTTTTATTATAACTAAATGTGTCTATAATATGTTTTTATTATCAAAGAGATTTTTACTTTATATTAGTTTTTATAATTATTTGTAAATGACCGTGGAAGTTAGATCTTTTTGCCAGAATATATAATTGATTGATTGATTTTATTTAACCTAAATTATGTAAATATTTTAATATTATTAACACATCAACTTGAAGAAATTCTCATAAAACCAAATTTAAACCCTTCTACCAACATCAGAACATAATTTTTGTATAACTCTCATAAATTATTTTGCTATAACTTTTTAAACTATTTTTTTTTTTAAAAAAATGAAAGTTTTGAATGTCTATAAACTAAATGTTTTTATATTATTAATTATGAATTTAAACATTTATGTTTAAATTTTAAGTTATATATTAAAATTATAAAGAATATTCTTCTGTATTTATAAATTTTTATAATTTAAAATCCAAAAATAAGTAAGATTTTTGTTTTTAGTAAAAATATTGGGAGTCACTTATCCTAACTAAAAATAACCAATCAGTAAAAAAATGAAATTAGTAAAAAAAAAAAAAAACACTCATGTAAGTTAAATTTCTACTCTGCAAAATGAAAACAAAATGAAACAAGTGCAATATTAGCCTAAGATTAGAGATTTTTTTAACTACTTACATATTATTAAAAGAATATTATTTATGTAAAAAAAATATATATTTAACATACAACATAACAAGTCTTAGATTTAAACCTCTAATTATATAATATATAATTAGAGTTTAAATCTTAGACGCAAGTTTCATATAATGGTCTAGACAGTCAGTAGTACTGAAAGTAGAAGCTTAAGTTAGATAAGTGTTGTTGTTTTTTTTTACTAATTTATTACTGCTCTGTTCTAAGAACATTGAGCTCATATTTTGTAAAATACAATAACATAATTGACATATATATATATATATAATGAAAGAAGGAAAAAGTTTATATGTAAATTCCGTCTATAGAACAAATATATAAATAAAAACTTTTTGCAAATTCAAAAACAAATTTCTATATGACTAGAACTTGGCACTATGCTTTGCAGATTCAACCAAACATTTATACGCAGCTAAAACGCAATCGCTTTTGCTGCACAATCTAAGCAAGTCTGAAATCAGTCATAGACGTAGGGGGGGGGGGGGGGGGTCCATAATCATCTTTTTTTAGA